TTCTGTTAATAATGCCAACAATGCAGGCCACAGCTCTTCTGTTAATAATATCAACAGTCTAGGTTAGAACTCATCTGTTAATAATATCAACAGTCTAGGTTAGAACTCATCTGTTAATAATATCCGAGCTGTGGCCTACATTGTTTTCTGTTAATAATATCAACAGTCTAGGTTAGAACTCATCTGTTAATAATATCAACAGTCTAGGTTAGAACTCATCTGTTAATAATATCAACAGTCTAGGTTAGAACTCATCTGTTAATAATATCAACAGTCTAGGTTAGAACTCATCTGTTAATAATATCAACAGTCTAGGTTAGAACTCATCTGTTAATAATATCAACAGTTTAGGCTAGAACTCATCTGTTAATAATATCAACAGTCTAGGTTAGAACTCATCTGTTAATAATATCAACAGTCTAGGTTAGAACTCATCTGTTAATAAACACCAACGATGTATTTGTTCATGCTAATATCGTTCACAGTGCGCGCTGACTGAAAAATGTTACATTGAGTTGCTAGGTTGTAACCAATAGAACTGTGTTCATCTGTCATTATTTATAGATCTTACAATCGCTTTCTTTTCGTGCTGTATTTTTTTATCTGTTATGTTACATCGACTTTGCGGAACTTGGTATTCAATTCTTGTGTTCTTCTATTTTAGGTTGATGAATGTTATGAACTCCGACATGATTTAACGTCTCATGTGACCTCAAGGACTCTCTTCACGGAATAGTAAGATGTAAGCAGTGTTTCTATAGTAACAAGTTCCTTTGATATAGTACACTGAGAGCTGAATACTTGTTTCTATAGTAACAAGTTCCTTTGATATAGTACATAGAGAGCTGAATACTTGTTTCTATAGTAACAATTTTATTAATGTAGTAAAGAAAAACCTGAATACTTGTTTCTATAGTAACAAGTTTGTTAATGTTGTAAAATAATACCTTATTACTTGTTTCTATAGTAACAAGTCTGTTAATGTATAAAGTAAAATCTTATCAGTCAGTATTAAAGAGTGTCTTTAGAGTGTATTAGTCTTAGCCATTTTGTCATTACACAAACATGCTGAAACAAAAATACGAAATCTCAAACCCAGGGGGAAAGTAAAAAGAAGGGATGAATACTTGTGTTGTATTTGCGGTTTATTATTTTTAGCTATCGACTGATAATCTCTATGGCAACAGAACATATGCTCCTGACTCTGTCTTAGTGTCATATTTGACTGTACAGAAACATAATAAAGATATCTTTAAAGTAGTGGCAACGCTCTTTTCATAAGATAGAATAAAGTGATTCTTAAAAATACAAAATCAATAATAAGTAATAGGTGTGATATTACATCATAATAAGACTGATGATGTATAACTATTCTAATCTGGTGAAGCATGGTTCCTCAATATGTATCTCTTACACTATTTCTTTAGTCTTTGTAAATTTAATTATCCTTTTTATTTATTTAGCTCTTTTCCAGTTCATTACGTAAAATTAATAACTTAAATCATAACTTTTAAAACCTCGAGATTTTTCAGTCTTGAATATTAACATTCACTTTTTTCAGTTGCGAAAAAACACTTTTAATCTTTTAGAGTATTTATGTTGAAATGAAAATAATTATTCTTTGCAAACCTAGGCAGTTGCCATGTTTAGTTCTATCTTAAGACACTTCTTATTTAGAACCTAGGCAGTTGCCATGTTTAGTTCTATCTTAAGACACTTCTTATTTAGAACCTAGGTAGTTGCCATGTTTAGTTCTATCTTAAGACACTTCTTATTTAGAACCTAGGTAGTTGCCATGTTTAGTTCTATCTTAAGACACTTCTTATTTAGAACCTAGGCAGTTGCCATGTTTAGTTCTATCTTAAGACAGTTCTTAGTTAGAACCTAGGCAGTTGCCATGTTTAGTTCTATCTTAAGACACTTCTTATTTAGAAGCTAGGCAGTTGCCATGTTTAGTTCTATCTTAAGACACTTCTTATTTAGAAGCTAGGCAGTTGCCATGTTTAGTTCTATCTTCAGACACTTCTTATTTAGAAGCTAGGCAGTTGCCATGTTTAGTTCTATCTTAAGACACTTCTTATTTAGAAGCTAGGCAGTTGCCATGTTTAGTTCTATCTTAAGACACTTCTTATTTAGAACCTAGGCAGTTGCCATGTTTAGTTCTATCTTCAGACACTTCTTATTTAGCGATAGAAAAAGCTAAGAAATAACTTTAGAAAGTTTTCGAGATAGGAAACCTTTCGTGAAGCTCTCATAGGAGATAGATATTTCCTAAGTTATGTCTCAAGAACGACTTATTTCGTAGCATTCATTCAGGAAACAGGCTCATGGTTTATAAGTAACAATAACTATTTCCAGTAACAGGCTTACGTCACAGAATATGTATTTCCAACTCATATTTTTTTTTCAATAATAGGTTTACATGATATAATATCTATTGCTTCTTTAATTAAAACCCTTTTAACACCTTTGGATTTTCCTACATTCTGACTTATTTCTGCTACATAAACACTATGTAGTTGTAGTCATTTCGCTTGTTAAAGTATTTACTTTGGGAGTATATAGAGAAGGCCTAACATTCGCTGGATAAAGTATTTACTTTGGGAATATTTACAGAAGCCCCAACTTTCGCTAGCTAAAGTATTTATTTTGGGAATATTTACACAAGTCCCCAACTTTCGCTAGCTAAAGTATTTATTTCGGGAATATTTAAAGACCCAACTTTCTCATATTGTTTTATCAACATGTTGGTAATGTTTTCATGGAATCCTGTTGTTTCTCATATTGTTTTATCAACATGTTGGTAATATTTTCATGGAATTCTGTTGTTTCTCATATTGTTTTATCAACATGTTGGTAATGTTTTCA